AAATGTCGGTCGGTCGGGTGAGTCGAACCACAGACCTTCTTCAGTGTGGCCTAACATGTTATTTATAAAGACAGGACAAGTGAATAATTAGTCAGTCCATTGTTCATGATGATCTCCGACGGTTACGTCGGCAAGCGAGCCTCCGCCACTGCCAAAGCAGCGTGGGCTCCGCAGGAGGGTGCAAATTTCAAACCAAAATTTAAACGCCTACAACCGCGAATGCACATGATACAGGATTTCAGAAGGCTGAAGGAAATCCTGCATCTAACAAATGCCATAACATGAGAGTAATGCTCACCCCTCTTCTCTGCCAACAGATGAGCAATTCGTTTGTACAGTGCTGTTGATGCTGGACCCATTCCGCCACTGGCTGACATGACCGCCGGAACAAAGGAGGCATGCTCAACCTGCCTCACCCGCTCCTCATAGTGCCTTCTCTTTTCGTTTTCATGTGGCTGATACACAATAGTATGTGGTGCAGATCGATTTAAGCGTGAGTGAGGATTAAAAACCCGTATATCAATAAGTGTACGCTCAAAACGACTGCCCCACAAACCATTGGCAGCGACATCCAACCGGGCACGGTCTTCCACATTTGCGGTCCGGTAGCAAAGACGCTCCCCCGTCAGCGGTTGCAGCAAGGGCTCAATGGACACACACTGGTGCACACCTCGTCCAGCAGCCGGGCCGTGACGTCCCGAATACCATTGTGTCTAATGGAGGGAAACCCTCCATAGGGGCACGACAAGGAATGCGCGACAGTTGCCTCTTGGCCGCAAGAGCAGTGTGACGGTACCCTGGCCGGTGTCCATCCGTAACGGAGGCAGAGTCCGTCCCAATACTCTCCCTTTGTTAAATTAAATTGATATTTCTTAAGTGAACGGCACGTCAGCCAGCTCGACGACCCTTTCCTCTTCGCGACGTCTATGACATGTCGTAGCGACTCCGACGCACTGCCCGATATCGCGTCGAATTCCAGTTTCTGATGACGTCGAGAAGATGCCTTGGCGTCTCTCTTGGCCGATCTGATTGTGGTAATGAAGTAGCCATATCAGAAGTCCCCTGTTCCCAGCAATTTCTTCAAAGCACCTCATTCAACCCTTGGAAAGCACGAACATCTTGCTCCCGAGTTCTTCACGATCATGGTCTCATGGACATGGTGGAAGATAACTTCAGGGACACTCGATCAGAAATCCAGAGGAACAAGGATATAAAGACCAGTGTTGCTTCAACCACAACTATGAGAAACCCATGTTTGGATTCCTTGACATCGGCAATGGACAAGGATCAAATTTCGCAAGGTAAAAGCACACCAAGTGTTAACTGCTATCCCGAACCCGTTTCAGATCACTACACTGACTACGAGGAAGTAGCGTTTCACTCTGAATATGGCAAAAACTACAGCAAATCTGCCGATATGAACGTTCACGCAGGTCTTGTGCACAACTTCGAACATTTTCCAGTGTCTTCTCCAGTGGCTAGCCTACCCGCGGATTCCGATCATCACGATCTTGAAATAAACAACACTCATCACACGTCTGAACCTTTTTCTGAGAAAGTTTGTCAACTTCAATCTGACCTTTTCCAACCAGAAAATACACTCTGCGAAGAAACCGGAAAGTCCCTTGATCGCCAGCCCGCTAGGCTTGATCGCGGACATTTACATCCTGGAGAAACGCAATATAAATGTAAGCATTGTGATAAATTATTTTCGACTCAATCTTGTCTAACTTCTCATGAATGTACACATCCAGAAGAGAAATCTTTCAAGTGTAAAGTGTGTGATAAAAATTTCACTTCAAGATCTAATCTTACCAGTCATGCACGACTACACTCAGGACACGCGTTTCCGTGCAAGTACTGCGCAAAGCCATTCAGAGACAAATGCAGCTTACACCTTCATGAACGTAGCCATACTGGAGAGAGACCATATAAGTGTATATCGTGCGATAAATCATTCACGGCGAAAGCAAATCTCACGGTGCATCGACGCATCCATACTGGAGAGAGACCATACAAGTGTAAAGTGTGTGGCAAAGCTTTCGGGGCAATGTCAACTTTCATACGTCATCAACGAATCCATACTGGAGAGAGGCCATACAAGTGTAACTTGTGTGACAAGACATTCTTGACGAAATCAAATCTCACAGTGCATCAACGCATCCATACTGGAGAGAAACCATTTTCGTGTAAGGAATGTGGAAAGTCTTTCACCACGAAATCCGGCCGAACACGTCATGAGCGAATCCATCCCGAGAGAACCTGATCCAGTGTCAGCGATCGTGACGAGTCTTTCAATGTGAAACAAAACATGGAAGACTATGCCAATACAAACACAGCCCGTTTTGAACCGCATGTAGCGGAAATGTCGTTTACAATCCAATCCGATAGCAAAAAGGTCACTTTTTACATGTGCAACAACCAAAACATTATCATTGTCATTGTATTCCTTGCTTCCATTTCAGTTCTACCATAGACGGAACTTTTTTCTATATTTGCCATGCATTAAAAGGCTCAATTGCGCTACACATGTCTGTATGGTTCTTTTTTGACAAATCAGTCCTGCTATATATCGCTTATCCCATTTCTGGGGCACGCATGCCGGGTACGGATCTTTTCGCTTCAAGAGGCGCTGTGCTGCTTTCAAGTTCGCACATGCTGAAACAATATTATGCATGTATGTACGAATGATCCCAAGTGTCATCTTGTATAGTCATGTTTTACTGCTTATCAAAACTCTCACTGTCCATTTGTTGGATGAAAATGTGTAAACGGGAATTATCACTGTCAATACCAGAACTCAAACCTGGTAAACCAGATTATGACCAGCAAATTCCTTTCTTTTCTCACCTATTGTTGAACATGAATGTGGTATCAAGCAATGCACTAAAACTACGAGATGGGGTAGCGGTCATCAAAGTAGCTACCGTCCAACGTTTTCTGCTGACTTCGGAACTCTCGCTTCCTGTGATTCCCACACAGGCTGGTGGTTCGCAGCCCTCACTGTAACTCACACACTTCCCAAGAGATGTAGATAGCGGTTAGGCCCAACAAACAAAGCATTCATTCTTTTGAGAACACGGTGCAAAGGGGAAAACGTTGAAGACAATATTGACTGTCACCACCAGGATTCGAACCAGGCACCTTTTCTTTTGTCCTGCGATGCCCTATTTGATACCATAATTATTACGTAAACATGTCGTACTCGACTGCATCAGACCAGTGTGAGGTTGACAAGCTGACTACTAGATTCACTTTAGGATGTACAGCCAATGTGCTGAATATGTCAACTACAATAGAGAAACGGGTATCAACTTTGTGATGCTTACCATAGCGGGACAAAGCCAGGTCGTCCTAACTCAGGGTTTCTCGCTCTAGAACGAGTTGCATAATCATTATGCATATATGGTTCAATCATAAGGTACCCAAAATGAGTATAGTAATAACTATGGGGCAAGGAAGTAGACTTTTTTCCATTTGTCTACTCAGAATAATGAAGTATATTTGAGCTCGTTCGTCACAATTAAGACAGAATAACAGTATGATATATTTCCATGAGGAGCTGATATTCCCTTCTGCATAATTGGGTGTATTTCATTCCGTGCAAGGACACTGTGAGTGACGAAATTAGCAGTCATGGCGTTGCGTCCGTTTTTAATATAAATATAATTATCTCGTTTCTTTAACTGTAATGTGAGGTAAACGAGAATCTCGTCTAAAGTCCTGAGCTTCGATTCGGTGAGGCACATTCGTGACTGGTATTTCGAAGACAAGTGCTCACAGATCTAGGGGTGCACAACCCTCAGCTCTTACTTGAGTGACTGGATTGTTTACATAGAGTCATAGTGCCTACTCCTACCCATGTTTTGTGCACTGAAGTGTAGCTGAATCCGAGACAGTACATGAACGCATCCATACCCGAGATACACAATTTCAGTGGAAGGAATGTTGAAAGTCTTTCGCCAATGAATCCAGCCTAACAGGCCAAGAAAGAATCCATACCTGAGAAAAAACTGATCAAGTGTCATCGTTTGTGTTAAGTCAATCAATGCTTGAACAAGCTTTGAAGTCCTTGCAAATGCTAACAGCCGAAAGGATGTGTTTCTAGGTGTGTATTTTAGGTGCCTATACCAATTTCACTGCTTACATGCTGACGGCAACACATGCAACATCAATACCATTATCATAATCATTGTATTCCAGTTGATATTCAGTTTCATTCCTTGTTATTCATTGCACTTCTTACACAGAAGGAATGTTTTTACAAATTAACCATGCAAAAAACAATCAATTAATTGCGATGAAACTCCCTGTGCGGTTAATTGTTGGTAATAAACAGTCCTTTTTAAAATTGTCGCTCATCTTGAACGAGCATGCCGGATATTGATCTCTTCGCTAGCCTATACGCTGGGCTGTTTGGGGTTTCACACGTGATGCAAAATATTTTAGTTCCTTTGCTCCTCTATGTAACTTTGATCCCATATGTAACATTGTATAGTCCCGTTCTAGTCCTTGTGAATCTTGTCACATTGTACCAGGCTCTTCAAAGGCCCTACACAATAATAATAATTATTATTATTATACTCACATGAGGTGAAAACGCTTCGATACATCGATGTCCCATTCAATATCTGACGCCGACGTGTCTCACATTTTCACCATCCCACGTCAGGAGTTGAAGAGTCAGCATGAAGTGTAAGTCTCAGCTTTCGTGATACCAACACAAGCTCTAAGGTGAAGAGAACATTAGAAGGATAACGTCTATGTGTATGTGAGTGTGTGTGTGTGTGTGTGTGAGTGTGTGTGTCAGCTTGTGTATGAAGACCTGTATGCGTGTAGGTGCTTATGGGTATGCTCAGGATATGATAAGATTGCCATGTGTCAGTTGATTATAGAATTCACATATAGATGTTTGACGTGACGAATTAGCAGAATGTGCCTCCACTTATTTAGGGAAACATAAATGCTACTGATTATAAAACTTACCTCCTACGGCAAGTTCTTGCTATTTGAATTATTGGCATTGACGTTGGACACTTTGTGTGCTTGGAAGGAAAATTACAGTTTTGAGACTTCGTGTTGTAAGTGAATCATGGATGACTGTGAATGGAATTCGGAGAGTAGCGTGGCCTCTGATGCACTCTCACCTTTGGCACCATTAGTCATATGGACCAGCAGAAGGTCTACTGCGTGTCCTTCACCGCCAAATATAGCAGCATCATACGGCACATCTTATGGAGCACATCACCACGCAAATGCTGAAAGCGGCAATCAAGGAGCGACCTCTGAATTCTCCTACGCATATTATCCTCCTCAGCGTTCCTCATTCAGCTCTTGCAACACATCAATATCTACCTCCGATGCCCTTCAAGATCATCCTTTGATGGGGGACGTGGCAGACAAGTTCAGGGAGCAACTACCAGAGTTCCAGAGAAATACAAATACAAACGCTACTGAAATTTCAACAACAGTTGTAGAAAACCCATGCTCTTATCCCATGACGTCGGCAGTGGACACTGACAACAGATCGCAGGACAACAGTCACCAAACTACTACCTATCCCGTCTCAGTTTCAGATCACTACACAGGCCATGGTCAAGTAGCTTATGACTTGGAAGATGTGAATTGCTCAAGCAAGTCTGCCGATGTGGACTTTCACATCTACGGACGTATTCCAGTATCTCCTCTGTCGTCTAGCTTTTCTGAGGATCCTAAACATCACGATCTCCAAGCGTTCAACAATATTCCCACCTCTGAGTCCTTTTCGGAGGAAGATTGTCAACTTCAAATTGACCTTTCTCTACCTGAAACGTTGCTCAGCAAGGAAATAGATAAGTCACGCGATCGCCAGCATGATAATTCGTTCACTTGTAAAGTGTGCGATAAAACCTTCAGTAGGCGATATAATCTGACCCGACATGAAACGGTTCACTCAGGTGTGAAACCTTTTACGTGCAAGTACTGCGCTAAGTCATTCCGTGATAAATCCGGTCTTACCCGTCATGCACGTGTCCATACCGGGGACAAGTCGTTTAAGTGTGATCACTGTGATCAAATGTTCACCGAAAATTACAGCCTACGAGTTCATGAACGTACGCATACCGGAGAGAAGCCCTTTCAGTGTAAATTATGCGGCAAGGCATTCACGCAAACATCACATCTCAGAGATCATGAACGCATCCATACTGGAGAAAAACCGTTCAAGTGTAAAGTATGTAACAAGGCATTCAGACAAAAATCAAATCTCACACGTCATCAACCCATACATTCTGGAGAGAAATAATGTTTGTGCAAGGAAAGTGGAGAGCCTGTCCATAGAAAATCCAGCCTCGCAGCACATGCACGAACCCATTCCTAAGAGATAGGGATCATGTGTCAACGATCGTGGCAAATCTTTCGTTGCGAAAAACTCTCTTTGAAAGATTAAGAACGGACAAACACTCTTAAACAGAGGCTTTTTGAAAATCATAGGAAATCACGAATTTTATGTCCGTTTTGAATCGTTAGTAAACTCAATGCCGATGAGAGGCTGATCTGATCTGCATTTTAATACCCGCTTGCTTACACGCTGAATTCACCAATAATAATAATGTGTAACATCAAAAACATTATTTTGTGCCATTGTATTTAAGCTGATATGTACTATTTTATTCCATGTTGTCCTTTGCACATCTTACACAGACGGAGCGTATTTCCATTGTAACTAAGAAGCCCTTTCGAATGTCGAATGCTAGTATACTACTTCAAGAGCACGTACGCCTGGTATGGATATTTGCGGTTGCGGAGGAGATCTGCTGTGTTCAAGTTCGCGTCTAACGCTACAAATTTTCGGTCTGTATATATCTTTTTGGTCCCATGTGTAATATTGTATAGTCCTGTTCTAGTCTTCGCCCGTCAAATTTTCTAATACTATCTCAATGTTCATTTGCTTGATGAAAATATACGAAAGGTATAATTGACTATCACCACCAGGACTCCAACCAAGACACTGGATGATACCCAGCAATGCTCTAACACTGAGCAATGGTGTAGTGGTCATCCAAGCAGCAACCATTCAACACTTTCTTCTGACTTCGAACTTCACGCTTCCTGTGAATTCGCACTGGCTGGTGGGACGGAGTTCTCACTGCAACCCACACACTCACAAGTGTCAGCTTTTGTGATCCCAAAACAAGCGCTAAGGTGAAGAGAAAAATGGAAGGATAGTGCGCGCGCGTGTGTGTGTGTGTGTCAGCTTGTGTATGAAGACCTGTATGCATGTACATGTAGGTGTTTGTGCGCATGCGCAGGATATGATACCATGTGTCAGTTGAATATAGACAAGTAGCATACATATCGTGTATTGTTGTACTAATTGTTTTTTTTACATAGGATTGAACTCATAATACTCATTGGGTTGATATCTTCGCAGGAAAAGTGTTGGTTCCCCACAAGGGGACTCGCACTTTCCGCCGACTGACTTGATACGTGACTGGGAAGTGGTGATATCTTGCAGGTTTGCTGGGGGGGGAATGTTCGATTCACGTCTCGTGTGCTCTTGGTGGCAGTCGTGAGTCAATCAAGTGTCAAGTCAGTGTTTCGCTATGAATTCATGACCTAAATGCCAACACTATCTCGTGTTGGTATATTCCTCACTTCTATCTCCACCAAACTTTGCTTCAAAACAATAATTATAACAATGACAGCTAGAAGAGAAATATGTGACGCGTGGTAACACCTTTGGGTCTTGCACTGCGCACGCAGTTCATTCTTTCTTCTTTTTTTCATTGAGTTCAATAGAACAAGAATACTACATGTACATCAGTGCTAAGAACTGAGACTTATGTTGTAGATCATGTCACATCTTCCAAAGCCTAACTATGATATTTCACAGAAGGCGAGAGAACCTCAATAAAACGATGCTTCAATTGATACCTAACAACAAAGAGTCTCATATTGCACAATCTCAAGTCTGGTGTTGAAGAGTTGGCATGATTATGAATGTTCGAAATGTTGTGATTCCAAGTTAAGAGTGGCGGTGAAGACGAAATTTGAGCGAGAGTGTGTGGGTTGGGTGTTGTATTGTATGTGATTGAGTGTTTGCGCATGATATCACAGGATTTTGTTATTATCATAGCGTGTTACGTAAGAGGAGAGTACTACAAATGGATGTGAATGGTTTTGACGGGACACTGTTCGACTGTACTTAGTAAGGGGGACCACCAGCTGCTACTAATTACAAAACCGTTGGCTACAACTAGGGAGAGTTGCCTCCTATGGTACCTGCGCTTTTGCCACTTCCAAGTCTGTCTATTTGGTGTTTTGAATTAGGACTCGCTGCATTGTTAGAAAGGAGAATTACGGTGGTGAGGATTGTTGAGGTACGTAAATCATGGACGACTGTAACTGGACTTCTCAAGATAGTGTTGACTCTGATGCCTTTTCAGCACTGCCTCCATTAGTAATATGGACTAGCAGAAGCGCAGTTGCTTGTCCTCCACCGCCAACTGCATCAGCTGATAGTATACCTTACTCGGCTCTTCACAACGTATACTTCAATAGTGGCAATCAAGTAGCCACATCAGAAGTCTTCTCTCTCCATTATTCTCTTCTAAGCACCTCACTAAGCCCTTGGAATACACAACCATCTTCCTCCGGTGTTCTTCAAGATCATGCACCGATGGACATGGTGGCACACAACTCCAGGGACCCTCGACCAGAAATCCAGAGGAACAAAGATACAAAGCCCAGTGATGCTTCAACCACAGCAGTCTAAAACCCTTGCTCGGATCTCTTGACATCGGCAAGTGACAAACATCAAACTAATACCATTTACCCAACTGTTAACTGCCATCTCGAACCCGTTTCAGATCACTACACAGGCTATGGGGAAGCATCGCTTCACTCGGAATATAGCAAATACTCCAGAAAGGATGCCAATGTGGACGTCCATGCAGGGCATGTTCACAATTTCGGACATTTTCCAGTATCATCCCAAGCGGCTAGCTCATCTGAGGATCCCTGGAGTCAGGACCGTGAAAAGATCAACAATCATCACACCTCTTAGCTGTTTTCTCTTTCAGTTTATCAACTTCAAGCTGCCGCTCGTCAACCAGAAATTACACTCTGCCAAGAAGCCGACAAAGCGCTTGATCGGCAACCCGATAGGCTTGATCATGGACATTCACATCCAGGAGAAAACCCATTCAAATGTAAGCAATGCGATAAATCATTTTCTACTCAATCTTGTCTAACTTCTCATGAATGAACACATCCAGAAGAGAAATATTTCAAGTGTAAAGTGTGCGATACAAATTTCACTAATGTACGTAATCTTACCCGTCATGCACGTGTCCATACCGGGGAGAAGTCGTTTAGGTGTGATCACTGTGATCAAATGTTTACCCAAAATTACAGCCTACGAGTTCATGAACGTACGCATACTGGAGAGAAGCCTTTTCAGTGTAAATTATGCGGCGAGGCATTCAGACAATCACAGCATCTCACAGATCCTCAACCCATCCATACTGGAGAGAAGCCATACAAGTGTAAAGCATGTGGCAAGGCATTCCGCACAATATCCCATAAATATTACTGTAGTACAAATCATCAACTAATCCATACTGGAGAGAAGCCAATTTCGTGTGCGGCATGTGGAAAGTCCTTCACTCAGAAATCCAGCCTAACACGTCATGAGCGGATCCATCCCTGAGAGGATCTCATCAAGGGTCAACGATCGTGACAAGTCTCTTGATGCGAAAAACAACATGGAAGACCATGCAAATGCTAACACCGTGAACAGAAGGCGACTTGTTTCGAATGTTATGGCAAATGCTACTGATAGGTCCGTTTCGAACCGCAAATAGCGTAAAGATCTTTTACAGCCCAATCTGATATCGATGCAAAGTGCACTGCTTCTAGGCCAAGTTCCACATATGTTTTGTGAACCCTATAAGATTCTCTAAATTGTCAGGATCGTACGACCACACGGCACGAGGACAACTCTTTTCTTCTCAACAGTATATTTCACTTCATCGAATAATTAACAATGAACACTAATAACACCAGCTATTTATAGCATGCAAAACAGCGTACAGGCAAAAACATACGCATATAAAATGGGACATAACAGAATATACAGTAAAAACGCACACAGCGCATATAGCGTATGCCATGCGCCATTAGCGGTACGGCGGAGTCGAAATACAACATTGCAATGAATACAATGCCATAAGCGCGAAGGCCTTTCCCACTTGAGAACTGGTGGTTTGCAACAATATGAAGCATTACAAACATTACCATTATCATTGTATTCCTGTTGATATCCACTGGTTCATTCCTTTTTATCCATTGCACTTCTTACACAGAAGGAAAGTGTTTCCATATTTACCATGCATTAAAACCTCTATTTCGCTTAACAATCCTGTATGGTTGAATCAGTCCAGTTTTGTAGTCGGATACCCTACTTCTGGAGCAGGCATGCCGCTTATGGATGTTGTCTCTGGAAAAGGCGCTGTGCTGTTTTCAAGTTCGCACAGGGCACCCTTGGTACCCTGTCCAAAATTGTATGATAACCTTTTTTTCCTTATCAATACTCGTGAATATCTTCTAAAACTATCTCACTGTTCAATTGTTTGATGGAAATATGTGAATGGGAAATTTCCGTTCACTACCAGGACTCAAACCTGCAACACTACGTTAGGACCAGCAAAGCATATTCTCTACCCTTATTTTTGTTGAGCTTGAAGAAAGATATTGTATCAAGCAATGCTCTAACACAAAGGTATGTTGCAGTGGTCTTCAAAGCAGATACTGGCCAACACTTTCTTCTTACTTCGAAACTCTCGATTACTTTGATTTGCCACACGCTGGTGGTTCGCAGCCCTCGCCGTAACCAACACACTTCCAAAACAATGTAGAACGTCGTGCCACCCAACAAAACAAGGCATTCATTTGTCTGAGACCAAGGTACCGATGGGAAGGTGTGAAGAAAATATTGACAATCACAACCAGGACTGGAACTAGAGACCCTTTCCTATGGCCAGCGATGCTCTATTTGATATCTCAGTTCGTAAAACATATCCTACCCCACGGCATCAGACCATTGTGAGGTTGAAATGTTGCCTACTAAAGTCACAATTTTGAATAATGCAGAGTTTTATACACCTACCTACAGATGCACCAGCCTACTTCAGGTTTCACGCCCATTTGAGGTTAAATTGAGAGTTATATGTTCATGACAGTGTGATCACGTGGCAATCTTATAATCACACTGTAATGAACCTGCGAGTTTAGAGTAACAACAAACTATACTAACTCAGGGTAACAACAAACTATACTAACTCAGGGTAACAACAAACTATACTAACTCAGGGTAACAACAAACTATACTAACTCAGGGTAACAACAAACTATACTAACTCAGGGTAACAACAAACTATACTAACTCAGGGTAACAACAAACTATACTAACTCAGGGTAACAACAAACTATACTAACTCAGGGTAACAACAAACTATACTAACTCAGGGTAACAACAAACTATACTAACTCAGGGTAACAACAAACTATACTAACTCAGGGTAACAACAAACTATACTAACTCAGGGTAACAACAAACTATACTAACTCAGGGTAACAACAAAATATACTAACTCAGGGTAACAACAAACTATACTAACTCAGGGTAACAACAAACTATACTAACTCAGGGTAACAACAAACTATACTAACTCAGGGTAACAACAAACTATACTAACTCAGGGTAACAACAAACTATACTAACTCAGGGTAACAACAAACTATACTAACTCAGGGTAACAACAAAATATACTAACTCAGGGTAACAACAAACTATACTAACTCAGGGTAACAACAAACTATACTAACTCAGGGTAACAACAAACTATACTAACTCAGGGTAACAACAAACTATACTAACTCAG